TATAAATTGTGAGAATTGCCAGGTGGAGATTTTGATGGCTATTAGTAAAACACGGAGCACGGAGCACACGGAGCACGGAGTACGGAGCACACGGAGCACGGAGCACACGAAGTACGGAGCAGTAGAAAAACGAAAGTCCTTTATAATAAAATACACTGTTTACTATTACAATTTTTTGTTATTATTAACAAAGTTTTTTTCGCGTATTACACGTTGGGGAAGTAGGAAAATGGGGCTTTTACTGAAAAACACATATGATGCAAAACCAGGCTGCCAAAAGCCATAGGATTTAAAATGGGATTGTGAAACTCGTTATCTTACATCTATCAAGCTTATGTAGTTATATTATATTCCGATGGGCAACACATAAAGAAACACTTACTGTAGAGAACAGCCGATATATTTCGTTACCCCTGCCAAAAATAGCCAAGTATACTCATCTTTCAATGTAGCGGATCGACTGAACATTAAATCTTGTGATGAGAAAAGTGAATTTTCGGTTTATCCTTCGGCTCAGTGACCGGTGGCAGTGAGCTGTACGGCCGGCTAAGTTTAAACCGTTATACAGTAGTCAGTACATCATTACTGCTTTCATTCTTTCAATTCGTTTTGAATATTCGGAATCATTCACAATATTATAGAACTGTATAAGATAGCTGTAGAACTATAAATGCTGTAGAATGAAATAAATAAAGAAAAGTAAGTTTTCAAATCGCGGTATTTGCCGATAAATCGGTAATCGCTACAGAAAAACAGAACAAATTACAGACACAGTATTAAAATCACAACAAACCGCGGAAGTGGGACAATTTTTGTATTTTTACTGTAAGACATGTAGAACATGTACGAAATCCATACAGAAGTGTGTGTGTATTCTATACTTTTGAAACAACTAAATCAGACTTCGGAAAATTTGACCGTATTAACGTATTAAAGCTGCTTTTGGGAATTTAGATTTTAGGTCTTCGTTTTACATGTACCCAGACCAGTAAATATTTTTGAGTTTTGAATTTTGTGTATAAATCAACACCAACGCCTCAAAGGCGAAAAGGAGAGCAAGATTGTTAGAATTGCTATTGTAAACATGAGCAGTTTCGAGCATAAACATAATATTGAAACGAGTAATTTTTACACATCTGATTGACTAAATTCAGGAAGCCATTTAAGTGTACGCGTATTTGTTACAATTCCGATCAACTCTGCCGCACGGCAGAGCCAGAGGCAGAGTAAATTGTAAACAAATTGTAAGCTTGTGAGAATCAAAGTTCAAAACTCAAAAATATTTACTGGGTACATGTAAAACAAAGACCTAAAATCTAAATTCTCAAAAGTAGCTTTAATACTGTCAAATTTTCCGAAGTCTGATTTAGTTGTTTCAAAAGTATAGAATACACACACACTTCTGTATGGATTTCGTACATGTTCTGCATGTCTTACAGTAAAAATACAAAAATTTTCTGTAGCGGTTACCGATTTATCGGCAAATACCGCGATAAAACGTAGTTTTCTTTATTTATTTTATTCTACAGCATTTATAGTTCTACAGCTATCTTATATACAGTTTTATAATATAATAGTGAATGATTCCGAATATTCAAAACGGATTGAAAGAATGAAAGCAGTAATTATGTATAACGGTTTAAACCGGCGTAGGCCGTACAGCACACTGCTCACTGGGACGAAGGATAAACCGAAAATTCACTTCTCTCCATGACAAGCTTTTATAATGTTCAGTCGATCCGCTACATTGAAAGATGAGTACTTGGCTATTTTTTGGCAGGGGTAACGAAATATATCGGCTGTTCTCTAAGTGTTTCTTAATGCGTTGGCCATCGGAATATACTGATATAACTACATAACTCATAAACTTGATAGATATGTGACGAGTTTCACAGGCACAATCCTATTTTAAATACTATGGCTTTTGGCAGTTTTGCATCATATGTGCAGTAAAAGCCCCATTTTTCTACTTCCTCAACGTGTAAAACGCGAAAAAACTTCATTAATAAGAACAAAAATTTGTAATAAAAATTTGTAGTAAACAGTGTATTTTATTATAAAGGATTTTCGTTTTTCTACTGCTCCGTAGTTCGTGTGCTCCGTGCTCCGTGTGCTCCGTGCTCCGTGTGCTCCGTGTGCTCCGTGCTCCGTGTGCTCCGTGCTCCGTGTGCTCCGTGCTCCGTGTGCTCCGTACTCCGTGCTCCGTGTGCTCCGTGCTCCGTGTTTTACTAATAGCCGATTTTGATCGTTTATAGCTTTTGTACAATTGTGGAAATAGATACATACTATAACGTTTTACTTTTTAATATTTATGTTATCATTTTTATTTGTGGATTTATATTTTTATAAATTGAATATTTAAATATACAACGTATATTATTAAATCTGTCAGTCAGTCTCGTATGCGGATCTGCTAGTGTAGGTATGGATATACAAATATCTACACTAGCAGATCCGCATACGAGACTGACTGACAGATTATTAAATATGGTGTATATTTAAATATACAATTTATAAAAATATAAATCCACAAATAAAAATGATAACATAAATATAACTTTTTAATATTTATGTTATCATTTTTATTTGTGGATTTATATTTTTATAAATTGTATATTTAAATATACACCGTATTTAATAATCTGTCAGTCAGTCTCGTATGCGGATCTGCTAGTGTAGGTATGGATATTAAATATTCAATTTATAAAAATATAAATCCACAAATAAAATTGATAACATAAATATAAAAAAAGTAAAACGTTATAGTATGTATCTATTTCCACAATTGTACAAAAGCTATAAACGATCAAAATCTCCACCTGGCAATTCTCACAATTTATATGCTGGATATCTGTGCCCATATTATTGTAAAGCACTCATATTTATAAAATTGGCTTGTAATGTTTTGACCACGATGTTGACTTGTGACTTATTTTCTCTTCCTCCCCCCCCGTCGTATAAAACAATAAATATTCAGGGGGGCGTGCCTTTTTTAATTCACAAGGAAAGTGCTCATCCACGGAGAAGGCACGTGTTTCTACGGAGAAGCTGCATGTTTCTACGGAGAAGCTGCATGTTTCTGCGGAGAAGAGGTGCCCCGTTCGGGCCACCGCATCGTGTTTCACAGAAATGCTACGCGTTTCCGCGGAGAAGCTGCGGTGTTTCCACAGAAAAGCTGCGTGTTTCCACGGAGAAGATGCGTGTTTCCACGGAGAAACTGCATATTTGTACGGAGAAAAGGCTTTTCGTGACAGAACAACTGCAATATTCCACGGAGAAGTTGGATTTCCATGGAATAACAACACATTTGTACGGAGAAGGTGCAAGTTTCTACGGAGAAGGGTTGGCCCGTATGGGCCACCGTACTTGAGAAAAATACAATACGCACGTGACGATGAAAGACCACATTTTTGCATAAACCTGAACAACATAGATAATGAGGTTTATTGTGATTTTATTGTAATGCTAACGAGTTTTCAAACCATCTCCTCTATTAACTATGGTTAATTGAATTTGCATTTTTCTACCTTTAGGATTTATTAATAAATGTTCTTCCAATTTTCGAACATTTGCCCAAATGTTTGTTGTCCATTTTGGAAACGTATTCCATTGTGAATCCATGCAGTCTGAAAGCTTTCAGTGTTGTAAAATGTTTTTGTCACTCAAATTTCATTGTAAAATAGCAATTATCAAAACTTGATGGATTGCGGCTTACACATGCGTTGCGCCATATTTACTCAAGGGACTTCAATGTAAATCCCAAATGAGAATCATTTCAATACTAAGACAATAATAGCTTTACATGCAATTCCCAATAATGGTAAAATGCAATTTCGACCGGCATTTCTATATCGGTTTGTATTTGGCTATTTTTGTTCGTAATGATACGAGAAAAGTATTATTCGACAGCTAAAAGCCTGATCTTTATTGGTGTGAAAAAGTAAATGGATATACGTAATATATATATAACATGCCAAAGTTGGATTATTTATCTTTTTTATACACCTCATGTATATAAGATCCAGTTTTCAATTATATTTGGAATCGTTAAGATTCCTTGCCGGACCATGCACTTCTCGCAATATTATAAAATTAATTCTAAGACACAAAAGAACCTCGAAATTCAATTCAATTGATAATTAAATTATACTTTAATGATATTAGTAAAGCAATAAAGCTACTACTTTCTTATTTATGTATAGAGTGTAACAAGTACTTGAAATGTAGAGCCGGCCGTTGTGGTCCATTGTATTGCTCATGCAAACCATTGTATAATTTTAAAGGATGGTAAGTTTGAAAAGTATTTCATTTCCAAGATAAATTCTTTCAACTCTTAAAAAGAATGCATGTATGCATCTCAAACTCATTAATAATTCATGAGCAAATTAGCGAATGAACTCACCCTAATTCGTCACATGATTGAGGTTGGATACCGCAAGGAAACACGCTAAAAATCATATACCATCACTGTTGTTAGATGAAAAACGGTTTTCATCTAATAAGTGAGATCCTAATTACAAATTCAAGTCAAAACACAACAATATACTATAATAATATATATAAGCCAATGAAATGTTTTCGTTTGAGATGTTGTGAAAACAACTCGTTTCTCGTGTTTCATCAGGGGACCAAACACTCGAAAACAATAAAACACTCGCGCTTCGCGCTCGTGTTTCATACAGTTTTCTCGTGTTTGGATCCCCTGATGAAACACTCAAACTCGTTGTTTACATATAACATGAAATGTTAAATGGAGACACAATGGGTTTCATTATTTTTGTCTTGATTTATCATGCAGAAATGTCAGTGCATCGTCACGTGCATGTGCATTGTATTTTCGACAATGAAAACATTGCTACTGGTTGATTTGGCGAAAAAAATTTCCGCACGTGTGACGATAAAGTGGCAATATTTTTGCATAAACTTAAACCGATAACGATATTGAGCTCTATTGCATTTTCATCGAGTTTCTAACCTTGCTTCACTTTTATATATACATGGACTATTATTTATAGTATAGTCACAATGCTTTTTGTTTCAGTGTCAGAGTGCAGCAAATGCATGGGGTTCAAATACATACATACATACATACATACATACATACATACATACATACATACATACATACATACATACATACATACATACATACATACATACATACATACATACATACATACATACATACATACATACATACATACATACATACATACACTTTATTTTAACTCGTATTTACAGAGTAGCTCAAACAATGAGCTCAGTGTTTTCAACTAGCAAAGTTAAGTTCATCAAATATACTTACATGCCATACGACTCGTAACATGTTACATAGGAGATCTTGTGTAAAGTACACACGAGTGACCACGAGTGACCACGAATGACCACGAATGACCACGAGTGACCACGAATGACCACAAGCAATTCTGTGTTTAAAAATCATGAAATAATATTCAAAAACTCATTAATAATTCATGAGGAAAACACAAAGAGAAATCATAAGCGTGGCGTGTCTTTATATGTGATAAAACACGCTTCAAATTTCAACTTGTATTTTCTCAGCTAATACAAAGTTATTTTGGAAAATTATTTCGCCAATGCCGTGATCTAACTAAGACGTTTTTGAAGCTGTTTAATAAACACGTAGTTCGTGTTTTATCACATATAAAACACTCCGCTACGCGTCGTGTTTTATATGTGATAAAACACTCCTACTCGTTTATTAAACAGTACATAAAAACTATTTTAAGGTGGCTCCCTAAGGTTTTTGCATTATACTACACTATAGTATCCAGAAAACGCCTGTTTCTTCACTTTACATAACATGAAGACGACATTTATTGGACACATTGACTATGCTCTCCTGAACATTGTAATGTGCTACTTTTGTGCTGAAAGCCCGTTACCATGGCAACAGCGTGCTTAGGATTAGGCTCAAAATTTGTCTTTTTTCGGCCATTTTAAAAATCCCTTAGGGAAATTTTTTTGAGTTTTTCGACTATTGTACACGTCAGTCTACAGGAATGTAGCAAAGCATCTGAAGTTGGGGGGGGGAGGTTTCGGAGGATTTTACCTGAAATTTGAATTTTTAATAAATATTTACCTTAAGTGTAATAATTATAATAAAGCTTTTTGCAAGGCATTTTTTAATACCATGGACTGATGGGACATTTGCCCCACTGGGCCCGGCCTTCCTCTGCCCCACCACTGAAGAAAAAAATGACCTATTTCCCCAAAGCCAGGGCCCTATGACTTGTATTGAGTAAATAAGTTTAAATTAACATTGAAAAGAAGTTTAAAAACGCTAAAATTTGTTGGTGAGCATACTTAAGCCCCGTTTACACTACGCTCAATTTTTGGTACAGCACGGATAAAATTGGTACCCGTACCACTTTTGGGATTAACTTGCACGGTCATACTAAGTTTCGGGAGAAAACGGGGATTTGGGGGTCCTCTCCCAGACAATTGTTCCATTTTTGAAGCTCTAGGACTGCAATTCTGGCGTTTTCTGAAGCAAATTTGCAAACAAATTGAATGGATGTATATTGACTGTATATTTTACAAAAATGGTTACCATTTCACACAAATAATTACTTTATTAAATTTTATCTGGAATTTTACCTGATTTTTGTCTAAGTTTCACAGTTATGGGGGGGGGGGGGGGTTACACGTCACATCTCGCAAAAAATGCCAAAATCAGTTAAACCTAAATTTCTCCCTTTTCCTTCGGTAAATTGTTTTAAAACTTTGCACATTTCTTAGTAACAGCTAAACAAGCTCAATATCTTTTTTTCTTAAAAGGAATAATCTAAGAAATGTTCCATATAATTTTTTAAAATTGAAGAAAAAAATCATTAAACAAGAAAGATCTTTTATTTAAATTTTTAAATTTTTGAAACGGCCGGAAAAAATAAATTTTGAGCTTAATTATCCAAAGCACGCTGTCACCATGGTAACGGACTTTCAGCGCAAAAGTAGTAAATTGAGATACTTTATTGCGTGTTCCCCTAAGGGCTTTTCAGCACTACATTACATATTAAAATTACTATAAATTACTTCTAAAACTACCTATGTTACATAATTATACTTATTTAAATTGCAATGTTCAGGAGAGCATTGTCAATGTGTCCAATAAATTTCGTCTTCGTGTCATGTAAAGTGAAGAAACAGGAGTTTTCTGGATACAAAAGTGTAGTTTAATGCAAAAACCCTATGGATCCACCTTAAAATAGTTTTTTATTATTGTTTTATGACTTTTAATTAAACACAGAAATCACTCGTGGTCACTCGTGGTCATTCGTGGTCACTCGTGGTCATTCGTGGTCATTCGTGGTCACTCGTGGTCACTCGTGTGTACTTTTAGACAAGATGTAATGTTGCGATGTAACGATATTTAGCCTCGAAAAGTACTCGATTTAGCACAAAAACAGTGAAAATAAACTTTAATACGAAATTCCTACACGAGTTTACTGTTTACTTAGCGTTCTTGTCTATAGTACACTGATCTCAATAATCCACTGATTGTCTGCGCGCGCGTGTCCCGCGTTTTGTGTGTAAGAGTCGTATCTCTTCTAAACATCCCCCCTCCCCGCACTGCTGAACATGCAATTTCAGTGCGATTTAACTATTTTAACTCTTTTCTAGTCCATAATATCAATGTTCAAGTTTAAGGTCCCGAGTCCTTTCAAACTGAAGGCTCTATCTACAAGTCAAGAAACTATACTCTTAGTGGGACAAGTTTGTGAATGGGTCTGACCAATGACTTGTTTCCCAGCTGCACCTTTGTCACTCTGCTATGTCCGTCTTTCCCTGGATATGTCGCTATGATTCGTCCCAATGGCCATTTTCCTCTCGGCAAGTCTTTATCTAAGACCAGAACAACGTCACCATCTTTCAAATCTTTTACCACGTTCGTCCACTTCGGTCGTGTGTTCAATGTTGGTAAATATTCCTTCAACCAGCGGTCTCATACTCATGACAGAATTGCTTGTACCTTACGCCATCTTTCACGAGGATTAGCGTCCATGTCGATCACTTCTGGTGCAAATTCTCCGCCTAGCTGAACATGAAGAAAGTGGTTGGGTGTGAGTGGAACATCATCAGGATTCATCGATTGGTAGGTTATTGGTCGAGAGTTCAAGAAACCTTCGACACCTGCGCATATAGTAATCAACTCCACGTCAGTAACATCACTGTTCTTGATCACCGCATAAATGGTCTTCTTAGCGGCCTTAACCGTTATTTCAAAAACTCCACCAAAATGAGGACCTCCAGGAGGATTGAAAGCCCATGTAGTACCCTTCTGTGTTGTGTCTCGCTGAATCTTTTCTCGGTCTAACAGTTTCACCAGATCTTCTAATTCTTTCACTGCCCCGACAAAGTTCGTACCGTTGTCACTGATTACTTCCTTAGGAACTCCTCTTCTACTGGTAAATCTGGTAAACGCATTGAGAAAACTGTCAGTATCAAGCCCCCAGGCTACCTCTAAATGGACGGCGTGCATGTGTAGTTAGGCATGTAAACAAACAAAGCCACCGTTTAAGTCGTTGTTTTCCTCGTCCTTGGACTGTCGTGAACGGTCCTGCATAATCTAAAGCAGTCTGATCAAAAGCTCGGTAGGTGAAACGAAGACGCACTTCCGGCAGGGGTCCCATAACCTGAGAAGCCAGCTTGTTCCGTCGCTTTTGGCATGTACAACACTCGTTCTCCCACTCTCTTATTTCTTCTCTAGCTGCCACAATCCAAAATATCTTTGGCTGATTTGAGCAAGCACAAAATTAGTTCCTGCGACGTGGTTTGCCAATGCATGATAATATCGCACGATCAGTTTGGCAACCCAATGTCCGCGAGGCAGAATTATCGGGCATCTTCCGTCGTAGGGTAAGCTTTCAGCGTAGTAGAGACGGCTGTTGCACCGAATAACACCTTCGCTAGTTGACTCTTCGCTGGCAGAGGTTTTCCATTCGATAGAGCTGCGTACTCCGCTGCAAAGGACTCTTCTTGTGCCTTACGAATGATCACGTCTTCAGCATCACGAATTTCCTCCGGTGCGAGCTCGGTTTGCCACTGCTGACGCTTCTGCTTGTTCCTCAAATTCGTCAAGAACCTGCTAACTCTTGCTTGTATGCGGACTAAGTGCTTCCAGTCTGAAACCCGTTTTGGATCCAACCGCCAGATATCTGTGGGTTGTATCACTTCTTCTGATTTCGTTGCCAGACTGTGACTACCATCGGAAACCACTGCATTTCCTTTTCTATCCTTCTTGTGGGCATCTTTCGTTTCCGGAAGATTAACTGGAGATTTCGTCAAATCCATTTGAGGCCACTGCGAAGTATCCTATACCAACCATACTGGACCATTCCACCACAACGTAGACTCGGACAATTGCAACGGTGTTGCACCTCGCGTGCACAGGTCCGCAGGATTTTTAGCAGTGGGAACGTGCTGCCACTGTGCAGGATTGCTATACATTTGTATCTCTCCAATTCGGTTAGCTATAAACGGTCGAAAGTCTCTCCCATAGCCACGAATCCACCACAGAACGTCAGCACTGTCAGAATAGAAGCTAACATCCTGCATGCTCATTTCAAACGCCCGAAGAACATTCTGCGTAAGTCGTAGGCCGAGAACTGCAGCCATTAATTCTAGTCTAGGTACCGTCATTGGTAACAACGGTGCTACCTTACTCTTAGAGGCGATTAATCTGCTAGAGCGAGTGCCATCCTCGTATGTACATCTCAAATAGACAACAGCTCCGTATGATTTAAGTGAAGCGTCAACGAATGTCACCATTTCTCGACGAGCTACTACCTTGTTCTCACATAAACACCTTGGCACATGTATTGTTGCGACATCATGCAACTGCTCAAACCATGCTGATATCCGAATTGCGATTTCATCTTCGATTGTGTCATCCCAGTCGTAGCCGCGAGCCCAAAGTTCTTGCAATATGACCTTGGCGACCATTACGAAAGGACTCATGACAAACCCAAGTGGGTCAAATACCGCAGCAATCGTTCGTAAAACGTTACGTTGGTTAGTGGAAGGTCGGAGGAGACTCTAGAAGCAGGTAGTGTCAGGATATCTTCTTTGCTGTCCCAAGCAACACCAAGGGTTTTAACAACTGGGTATTTGTCATCGGTAATTGTGAGCTGCACTGCTTGGTCTTCCACTGGGATCGCCTTCATAATCGCTTCCGAATTCGAAACCCACTTCCTTGCCTGCATTCCCGCATGATTCCAAAGCGAACTTAACTGCCGATATAACTTGACGCCGATCTCGTCTGTCTCCACATTGTCTATCGAGTCATCCATATAAGTCGACTTTAAAACGGTTTCTGCCGCTAATGGATGGGTTTCTTGGTGTAGTCTTGCATTCTCTTGTGCGATAAACTGCGCCTCCATGGGGGCCGAATTCTTGCCAAAGACGACACGAGTGAACTCATAGACATCGGGCTCTTTCGTAGTGTGTAGATCACGCCACAGAACTCGAAAATATGGACGATCGTTTTCTTCAATTTCCACTTGCAGATACATCTCTTTAATCAACCTCGTTCCCAGGGCTTCAGTGTGAGGACGAGGCGAGACACGAGGAAGCCCTGGTCCGGGCAGGTCAATTTTGTATTCTGATTGGCTAACACCATATTGTCTAAAAATAACTGAACTAGACAGTTGACAATAACAATTCACCATTTGTATTTTTATGATTCTTGTGTGTACGAGTATGTTTTGCAAAATAATCTTTCAAAGTAAGACGTTTTTCCGACTGCATGATTTACTTTCGCCTCGGCCGGTTACAAAACTCAAAAGCCGTGTCGAAGTGAGCTGTGATGTTTCCTGACAAAACAAGAAACGTCTACTAGCTGTAGTTTTCCTTGTACAGTGTTTATTAGTGCAGATGTCTGATGAAATACTACGCGTATTGCATTGTTGTAATATTTTAATTTACAATATTCTGTACTGACAAATAAAAGCAAGACAAACAATTAAATGAAACTACTAAATAAATTATGCCCTGTTTACTTAATAGCTCTACGCCTAGGCCGATGTAGTCTCCACAAGATTCGCACGCCACCCAGTTTTCAGTTTCAGCATACCCCGAATACTTGAAAATTGCTACTATATACGATAAAATAAAACAAAGATTGTGAAGGGGATAAAATTTGTAGGCAAACATTCGGCTCCTGAACGGCAAGTGTTGGTGTCCGGCGAAACAAGCGAATTCGTATATTCCTATACAGCGTAAACAGGTTACGCGAGGTTTAATATAATAGTTGTGTTTATTTATATTGAACTAAGTCAGATCTATAAGAGCATATTTAAACTAAACTATTTATTTGTTTCGAAGACTTGTATATTTCATTAAAGCATATCTCGCCACTCCTTGACGAGTAGCTGTCAAATACTGCCATTTTTTGTCGTCACGTGACCGGCCCGGACTAGGGCTTCCTCGTGTCTCTCCTCGTCCTCACACTGAAGCCCTGGGAACGAGGTTGCTCTTTAATATCGCAAGCTAATGCTACTGAATGACGCCGAAAACGAAGTAATACATCGAAAAGCTCCTTCTGTAACTTCGGTCCAGGATTAATGACATCGTTCAAGGATAGTCCGTCTGTTTTAGCCGAACAATCGAAAACAATCCGTACTTTTGTCGTTGTCTTGTCCATTCGAATAATTGGGAAATGTGGCAAATACCATACTTCGGGAGGGATCACTTCGTCTTTTCTGCAAGTAGCGCTATCCCTTCTCCAAATACGATTCAATTGTATGTTGATACTCCCTGCTCACGATTTCATCCTTCTTCAACTTCCGAGTCTCGATAATGCATTGTTTTTGTTGTCTGGGAGTTTTGGACGATTCTCTTTCCAAGGAATGGCGATCTCGTATCTAGACGTTGCACTATTGTGGCTGATTGATTCTTTCACCTTCTTCAGAGCTTCCCTATTCCTCGCTGTTTCTCAGTGGCTCCAATGCAACTCCATCCTAGTGGTCCGAGTCGGGCTATTGGGCTTCCTGGTTCCCCCCGAACATCTGCTCTTGAATACAGTAAATCTGCGTTGTCCACTCCAATCAATAAGTCCACTAAACCTTCCTTTGCTGGTGTTGCAAAATGACAACTCTGAATATGTGGCCAGTTGGTTTTATTCTTTGACCAATCCTCTACTTTGTAGCTTCCCGTTACGTTCTGAGGGCACGTTTTGACACTAATTTCCTTTCGATACTGTCCGTTAACACTTTCAATCATAATCTCCACGGGCATGGACTGGAACGTTTCAACCTCATTGTTTAACACCTGAACTTTAACTGTCTTGTACGGCTCTTGTAGCCCTAACACTCCAGCAACTTGTTCATTTAGAAATGTTTCATTGGAAGCGTCATCCAGAATAGCGTTGACTTTAACTTTTTAACCATTTGCCTTTAACCATACTGGAATGGTACGAAGCGACAAAACTTCAGCAGTCGGCACACTCTTATTTCTTGAAGTGTGTGTTCGTGTCTCTGCCCCCTCCCGTGTCAACGGTGACTTCTAACCTTCTTCCTTCTCCTTCGGTACAACGTCATGCAACAAGTTGTGATGGCTTCTTTTGCACCCTTGCACTGCGCATGGCTTTGACCTGGTGCAGTCCTTACCGACATGATTACTTGCAAGACATCGATAACATAAATGTTTTTCCTTTGCGACTCCCCAACGATCTGGCACACTCAAGCCAGGAAATACCTTACAGGACCAAACCCCATGATTGCCACCACATACTGCGCAAGGTGACTGTGAATACGGGCTGCGTGTATCGTTGTTGCTGTGTTTTCCATCTCGATTAGTGAACCAGGTTCGAGGTCGATAACCTCTTTCAGTTGGCTTGGACTTTCCTCTGTCATACTCTCTAGTCTGCCTTGGTTCAACTCCTTGGGCCATTTCTGTAGCCTCAACTCGGATGATTACTTCTTCCTTTAGCCAGTCTCTCAAGGCTTTCACTGACCGTATCTTATGTTGTTCACTACACCATCGACTGTAATTTTCTACTTGACGTTCCGATAGTTTCTTTACCAGCAGGCTATGCAATGCACCATCTCCCAGTTCCCCACTGCGCCCCTCAGCTTCCAACTTCACTACGGTTATCCGCACAAGATCAGGAAACTTTTCGAAAGACTGAATGTCACTGTTCTTCAGAGTTGGCATATTTTCTAACTGATCGAGGTAAGCTTGCAACTGACGACGTTGTCCACCAAACTTAGATTTTAATATGTCCTTAGCCTCATTATACTCTGGCGCCGTAACATCCAGTCCACGAATTCCATCAAGGGCATTTCCTGAAAGACTTTGACGTAGTCGAGCCATTTTAATATTTACAGTCTCACTCCCTTCATCAACTAGGCTGATGAATAATGCCCAAAAATCCTTTTGTTCCAAAGTTATATTTAAGAAATTAATAACTTCACCATAAAGTTCCACAAATATATCAACAAATCACAATCAATAACTTTAGTTTGTACTTACGCGTCCATTAAAACAACTGTTTATCCCCTGCTTTCCTGGCTATCCCCAACCATCAAGTACGTGGCACAGTATATTTAATACTTTATTAATATAAATGCCGTCTAATTCCAAATACCCTGTAAACTTGCTATAATTCGATGTAAATATATCGTAGAAACACCCAATAAAGTTTAAAACGAAGCCGAGTTTACCACAAATTTATAAAACGTCCCCGAATATTGTTGCAATACCGATACAACTACGAATAAACGCTGTAAATACGCCAAAAGTCCTCGAGCACGATGTTGTGAAATTTTCCCCGATAATTTTTAACCACGCAATTCACTTTAAAACCCCCAAATTCCTCGAATTGTCCTGGCAGGATCGCCAAATGTTGCGATGTAACGATATTTAGCCTCGACAAGTACTCGATTAGGTACAAAAACAGTGAAAATAAACTTTAATACGAAATTCCAACACGAGTTTACTGTTTACTTAGCGTTCTTGTCTATAGTACACTGATTTCAATAATCCACTGATTGTCTGCGCGCGCGTGTCCCGCGTTTTGCGTGTAAGAGTCATCTCTTCTAAACATGTAAGGATATAATACATAATAATTAGTATACGATTATTTTCTTAATCTTAGAGACCACCTGCAGCGCTATAGCAGCTGATAAAGGTTATATGATGAATTGGAAGCATATATATTAACTTAACCAAACGCTAGGTCTGTACAGAGAAATATCGGACCGAGGTCTTTTTTGTACAGACCGAGCCCGTATAGGGCGAGGTTTGCACAAAAAGACCGAGATCCGATATTTCTCTGTACATATCGAGCAAGCGAGGTTAATAATAAAAAGTTTATTATTATGGCATTTATACTTGAAACAAACAAGAAATGCATGATTTGAAATGCATATTAGTAGCGCGGTACACATTTGGTCGAAGAAAACAAAAATACCAAATTTATTCTTTCTTTCAGTTTCCACTAAAAACCATTCGTTTTAAAAATGTATGCGTTTGTTTTTACGTAATGGACCGCCGGTCCATTATACGGGAAAATAATGGACCGCTAAAAGTGCTTCTCAGCCAATCACAGTCCGCCATTCCGCGCGTATGTATATCATTTCATGACAATATCTAATGCACTTTGACACAGAAAGCTGGCTATTTGCATATCAAATTCTCGACAAGCAATATACCGGGTGTCCCCCAAAAAAGTGCTCCGGTTTGATTCTTACTAACTTCAAAGCGAGTGAAGCAATTAGCCTCAAATAACTTTCATTAAATAGAGGAAAGGCTAACTTAGATTTTGATGTATTAGACCGCGGTGGGAATCGAACCTGAGACCTTTCGTTGGCAGGTTCAATTCTCTACAAACTGACAGCTATGAGGTCAAATAATTTCAGGTTCTGAATTTGGGCAAATTTTCAACGTTGTAAGTTGGGCAAATTTATTTTAAACGTAGGTTGGGAAAAAAGATAGTGGAATAAATTTGAAAAGCAAGAAATATGACAGAAAATTGTCGAAAAAGCAAGAAATATATCTGATGTGGTCAAATATTTTAAGCCCCACTTTTTTGCCCCCTCCCCACACGACAAGAATTTTAGGAGTTTAAAGCAAAGAAAGAATTTGATTGATCGGGCAAAATGAAAAAATTTGCGATCCGCCCCCTAATTTTTGCCTATGATGATCGACGGATTCAACGCTTGATAACGTTGCCATGTTGGTTTTGGAATTTAGTTGTTTTCTATTTTTATGGCGCTGTATAGTCACACTAGACAGAGTTTGTGTCAAAAATAATTTCGCTATTTTATTTCCTGTATGTTTCCACATTAAGAAAAATTTAATGTCGGCTGTCGAAATCTATACCCTAACAGTAATCAGTATTAATATTTCGCACTATATTTACTTTTCAACGCCAGCCTTATTAGCTAATCTCACAATAATAATTATTGAATTTTATGTAGATTCCATTTTTAATTTGACGAATATTTGGTGAAAAGAGAAAAAAGTCACATTGCGTCCATAAATATAAAATTAAGAGTCTTAGATCACATCGTGTCGTTTATGAAATTGTAAAGATAGACTGGGGTGTCTTTCAGTGAACATATCACGTCGTTTCAGTAAAAGTTGTAAAATAGTCTAGGACTAGAGTACATTGAGTTGTTAGTAATTTAGAATAAAGTTCTTTTAAATACGGCATATTAATTGTTGTAGATTTTTGTTGCAAGTACCCAGCAATGTTTGCTATAGAGCACTGAAATGTAGAGAAACAAATAATGGAGAGAAACAAAGTATTTCTGTAATCCCTCTGCATGGCATAGTTTGATAGAGATAAAGAAACCTCTGTTTGCAGACAAACGACGCCATTCAAAGAGAAGTCAAAATTTTAGATTGTGTACTACTACCATGCACAAGAAAAACTAAACAAATTGATAAGCTAACTTATAGTAACAAAACCTACATATCGGAACATCAGTAAAATAACAGCAACCTTATACAAACTGGAACAATCTGAGCCAGCGTAGCCACAAACTCCAGAAAATTGAGATGGATATAGGAATTCAACTGCCTAAAAATATACAATACTTTACTGGTAATTGTCAGGTAGAATTGAATATCCATTTCAATTTCTAATCATCTATAATGTGTCTGTTCGCGGTATTCTTTTACAGTGTGAAATTAATGTAGGATTTGGTCTGACATAGACACGTACATACCTGCTACATCAGACGTTCAATGACAATTAACATTGTAACAAAACTAACAAGGACAAAGATTTGGGTGGTTATAATTTTTTGGCCAACCTCTTCGACCTTTACACCACCACTTTTAATGTGAATAATGACGGCTTTAATTAATCGACATTTTTTTTGTAAAAGTATCAAGACTGGCGACTGGAAAGGTATGCAGGATAGGAACGGAAGGAAACTTACATGGTGCTAAAGGTGGAGTAATACGGGCAACAAAATTGCTGCAATTTGCAACAAAATTCTGATTTCAGCGTATGCTAATTGAAAATGTTCCCACATATACATTACAAATCACGAGGCAACATTTGTCAATATTCCTACTTAACATGCGTTGAAATCAGATTTTGTTTCAAGTTGCAACAATTTTGTTGCTCGTATTACTCCAGCTTAAGGTGTAGTAGTTAGTTCCAACGCCGTCCACTCCTGTGGAAAATTTTCCTTAGTGGAAATTAGCCTACAATGAAGTTTAACAAGACGAACATAGGAACACACGTTATAATTAATAACAACACGAATTTGAACAAGACAAATTACGAGACTTGTTACAAGACAAACATACCGCAGACAAGACGATTTAAAACATATAGTATACAGACAAAAGACAACCATATACAGACGATTTAACATAATAATAATTGATCAACACTGAACGCAGGCACGCGTTTACGTCAGTGTTGCCATGGTAACACGCAAATTTGCTCTATATTTTACGATTTTCCATAGTAAATCAATTCTTCTCATTTCTTCAAACAAAAATTGCTTCAAAGCTCATTGTGTGAATCGTGATTTTCCAAATATATAGATGCTTTTGAAAATTGAAATATTGCTTATCCCATTCCTGGCAAACAGCCCTATTTTTGAAATCAGTGAGGTCCACCCATGAATCATAGTAACGCGCCCGCGATTATTCATGGACTTGAGACTTCCCTAATGCTTCAGTTCCTTTCCCCGGGTGTAAATAGCTGGGCGGAATATTAGTACCCTCGCCTAGGAATTAGTAACCTCGCCTCGGGATTTGAAATCTATTTTATTGTTATTTGTCCAAGGCGTGATTAGCAATATTTGAACCACTTTTACAGAGCTCTACATTTCTCCTGTGTTCCTTTCGTCAAGTGTTGAATGCTCAGCCAGTTTCGCCATGACCAATCAACACAGTTGTTGTTGTGCACTAACGTGGTAACCGATTCAGCCTGATAATTTCAGATTATACAAGGCCCGCAGGGTTGAAGTATGAGATGAATTATACGAATAAATGGAGACGAATATAACAATGCTTTATCTTAAAATTATTACTTCACTCAAAATACAGCGATTTAAAATAACTATAACAAGAGAAAAGACTGGGTTCCACTATTCTAGACCCTGATAAACACCACCATCCGCCCCCATACATACATCTACCTCAACCCTACGGGTCTTGCATAATCTGAAATTATACTTCATGAAGCGTCGCCTCATATAACAATGCTAGTTCATGCAAATCCAAATCTTTAAAAACATTAAGAACAGCCCTACCAAACGTAGGATTATTGGCAGGTTTGCAATAAATTAAAGCGACGAAAGGTAGTATCACTTGACCAATCGGCCATTCTTATGATGTCACTGATAGATAAGCCTGCTCTTATACTAGCAGCCATTGAAGACAAAGCTCCTCTTCTAGAATGAGCTTTAATTAAATGTATTCCATGGAATATATGCCTGCGTCTTAGTTTTTGGTCCAACGTGCTAAAGTCAAGGACGTGATCGGGCTTTGTGGATTGATAATAGCTAGGAATAATTTATTAGGGAGTGATGGATCGGATGACCTAAAAGAAGATGTTAATGCCTCGTATGCCTGTAAGCAATTCCAGGGGCACAAGAGGTTGTCATCTGGGAAAATAGCATGAAAAGAAGTTTTCAGGGATTTGCCCACACGACTGACTTAGTTAAGATTGGAAGTTTAAGAGGCTGTGGCCGCAAAAACCTACCACAGACTTTGGAGCCAGATATAAACCTACCCTATTTTTTTGTCACTTATTCGACTTTGTGTACCAAATCAGAAGATTTATTGGGATTTTTGATATTTCGATTTTTTCCAGAATTTTGACGCTTTTTGGTTTTAGTCATTATGGCTGTATTTGGCGCCATCTGGGAGATCGAAAATAACAATATTCATACAGCTACTACAGAATCGTCCTTTAACCCACTGATTTCATCCTAATGTATTCTGAAAGGCAGTTTCTTATAGTTTATATATTCATGGCAAAAAAAATTAAAAAATTCTGGTTTACCTCACCCTAATAAGGCCAGTGGCTGAAATATAGAAATCGCGCAAGTTCAAGACTTGTTTTCTCAAAAGTGGCACCAATTCAGAAACCATACAAACTTCGAAATACTGAAAGTACCAAGGTGAAATAGTCTCTTGATCGAATAATATTTTTGGGAAAACCTTTTGCTGATGGTACACTCTTGTCAGCAATTTTGTTAATTTTGGTTTCCGCCTCGCACTCGTGAAGAATACCATCAATTTTACTTCAAAGGAATGCATTGCATTTTTTAATTATTTTATCGCTATAGGGCAAAAGATGAGCAAATGCAATTATTCGAACTCACATTTTGAGTTTCAAGCGATAGCGACTGCATGTGTTTGTGTCTGGATTTATCACTGAACATTAATTATGGAAGAATCAGCTTGTGAAAGAATTATATATGCTCGTCTTTTGCGACGAACATTTTATATTTTGAGGATCTTTTTATATTTTATTTATAAGATTTCGGCATCATTATTGTCCTCTCAAGTTCTTGCATTATTTATATGTTCTGCTGTCATGGTATTACCCTTTAAAACAACTGCATATACAGCAAGTAAATTTGACAAAACTCCCAAAGGGTGTCTTTCCGTAAAAATCGAAGAAATTTTTTGTGTTTGAGCCAAATTGGAAGGTCTTTTATCATTGTCACTCCTTCCATTTTAAAGTGTTGATACTCGATCTACAAAGTAACTTAGGTCCTTCAGAGTTATGATTGGTCTGTTCCCCAATTCTTTTTGGGGGACAGTGAATAAGGGGCTTATGACTTGAGTTTCGGTTTATAAATTGGGATCTTGGACCTTGTGAATTGCATGCTTTTCGTACAAAACTTGCATGTACTTCCTCGCTTATCACTAAGCCTTGTGCTGGAGTGATCTGCATTGTTGAAATAGAAGTTTGTTGTGGGGTTGTGATAAACTCGATTCAGGATGAATTTCGGACGTGTTTAACAATTTACTCAGACATATAGTAAATTCAAAGGTGGAGCTCATGCTGTTGTGTCACGAATAATTGCCTCTATTTCTCGAAGAGTTAGTTTCTCTCTTCTTTCGCTAAGCGGGAGTTACTACTGGGAGTTACTCTTCCCGCGCTTTTAGTTAGCGTAAAAGCGAATAAGACAATAGTTATTTGAAAAGCAAGAAGGTTCAACACTCCAGTCTAGCGTCTTCATAAGGAGTAATCTAAAGTTGCAATGTGTGACTTCTTATATATATATACCCAAGAGATGACGTCATCTGCCAATAAGATACATGTTCCTCTGGCAAATAGGCACCGTTATCCCTATTCAAAGCATGCTTACTCATATTTATGTGCCACGCTTCTAGGCAACGTCTTTGGCCATACTGATTGTTTGTGGTAATTCTTTAGAATTTTCCCACGCAATCTTGTGTTTGGTGTCACACACATGTTCTGCTAAAGCTGATTTCCCCATGGTAAAAGCTAACAGCCTTTTGATGTTCCTTTAGCCGTGTACCAAACTGACGTTTAATTTAGACTGACCCAGATACTCGTTCTTGCAGTCACCGCATGGTATAGACTATAGAATATACGACACGAGTTTTTTTATTAGTTTTAACAGGATCTTTCGGCTTTGCGAAATATGGCCTAAATTCAAGTAAGGCTCTAATCAAGAGTACAAATATATACAATTGCCATTCTCATGAGAAAGTTTTACTGTACTACGGCATTTTAAAAGAAAATCTTTATTTATTGATGACATCTTAGCAAGTGTCCTCATTTTATGACATTTTTAGCCCGTTTCCATGGTGATGTGATGAACATGTGTTTCTCTGGCTGAAGTGGTAGATTGTGAAGTGATAAGCTTTTATGTATTTAGGTGCATGCTCAGTTCAATATAACTCTACAGAGCCAATGTCAAAACCATTGTTCTTCATTGCCAGAGAACAATTTTTCAATATGGTACAACGACATGCACCAGTATTTGAGATGAGATTGATTGTTTAATGAAAACCTTTTTGCAGCTCGTAAGCTGAATTATTAAGGTATTAGATTATTACAAAGGTAATTTAATATAATCTACTATTTAAAATTTATTTATAATTAGAGTTATTAAAAATATTCTTGTTGTAGTGAAGGGAGCTAGATATTAAAAAGGAATTTTAAATCGATTGGCTTTACATATTGGAATAGTAAAAGGTCTTACGATCCTGAGATAGTTTCTTTGATTTTCGTTATGTGGAACAAGGTCGTGAACTCGGTCGATGAGCAACAAGGTCGTGGAGTCGGTCTGCAGGATTCGCGATTACTTCACTAAAAAACTTATCACATAAATGTTGTCTGCAGTCAGAAATTTCATTAATTCCTGCTTGCTCAAGGGCGGAATTGTACGAGGTATCATATCCGTAAATGATCTTCATCGCTCGCTTTTGGATTTGTTCTAAGGACTTACTTAGATACTCAGGAAGGTTATAGTGATAAACGTGACAAGCATAAAGTAGAACAGAGCGTATACAAGCAACATAAAACTTGATCAGGTCTTCAGGAGATACTTTGGCCCGTTTTATTACCTGCTGATATACATGACATAAATTTAAACTATATAGTCAATGTACCCTCTATGCGCGCAAGGTGTGATGGGTAACCTCTTACTTAAGGCCTAAAACGCGTGCGGATCTTGCAATGCAACTATGGAAAGACAGATAATAAGCAGTATAATGTACAACTAGCAGTGTACTAGAATTATTTGCACAATCAAAAGCCTTAAAAAGAAGTTACCCATCACTCTTTCCGCGCTTAGAGGTTTGAGATTTTCGAAAGACAACCTGTTTTGAATTAGTTGTATGATGTAAAGCATACGTTTCTGAGGTATAATACTGGCGAAAATACATATATATAAATCAATCTTAATAAATTGTATTATAAATTGTATGTAAATTGTGCAGATTGTACCATATATTATATATAATATATAGGTGGACCACCTGATGATTCCTATACGGATGAAACAGACTGTTGTGGTTTTTTGAGGTAAAACGAAAAACTATATTACGCTATATCTATATGGTATTGAGCACTGTTTGTGTTTCGTAAACCAAAAACTCAAGCTAAACTCTTGAGATAAAATAGCCTATATATATATATATATTTATGTGTTTGACCTATATAGCTTCTCACGTTTGAATGAAATAATATTGGCTTCTAACATTTAAATACATGCGCTTATACGCCATATTTTGTAGAGATACTGCTGACTGAAAATGAATCAAAATACATTGATTCGAAATATACAGTTTCTTTTTAAATAGATGTGTCGTTAAAATACATACATTTTTTGTAACATTAGTTTTATATTTGCTGAAACTATCAGCCGGTAAAGTATTCAGTTGTTAATACTTGGGTTTGTTTTTTGCTTTTCAATTTCCAATTTTGGCACAACTTAGTTAAATCAATTATAAATGAAACGACTTCTTGAGCCTTTGGACACATTCAGTGGAGGTAGAACAATATTCAAAGAATGAAAAATGTATATAGCTACCTTTATCAAGAGATTGTTACTCGCTTACAAGAGATTTTTATATCAACTCAGATTTTTGAAGAGTCCATGCATATAATGTTCATTTCAGAACCATCCTCAGAGATACGAAAAACCAGTTTCATATTATTCTGACACTCCAATCGAGCAACTAAACGTTTGTTGGTTCGAGCGGGATTTGAACTCGCATCTTCGCGTATCTAGACCGCCGCTCTACCCATTGAGCTATCGAGTCAACGAGGATTCGTAGCGAGTCTTATCCAATTTAAGTGCACGAAATATTTTCGTGACGACTAACGCTTGTCTTAGAGGACACGCAGTGTTTCAATTCTATTTCTTTTCGTTGCTCGATTGCAGTGTCAGAATAATATGAAACTGTTTTTTCGTATCTGTGAGGATGGTTCTGAAATAGAATTGAAATACTGCGCGTCCTCTAAGACAAGCGTTAAGTCGTCACGAAAATATTTCGTGCACTTAAATTGGATAAGACTCGCTACCAATCCCCGTTGACTCAATAGCTCAATGGATAGAGCGGCGGTCTAGATACCCAAAGATGCGAGTTCAAATCCCGCTCGAGCCAACGAACTTTTCGTTGCTTCATTACAGTGTCAGAATAATATGAAACTGTTTTTTTATATTATGTTCACATAGTGTTACTTCTGCCACCCACGAAACCTCCTTCAGTGTAGTCTTAATTGACTACATTTTCCCTGATTAGTCGACAGCATAATATATAAAAGGGGATCTAAATATTGTTGTATTCATATCTATAGTGGAGTTTGAAGGTCGTGTGAAATCATTCTCTCTCTCTCACTCTCTCTCTCTGGTGTGCGCATAGGCAAATAAAAAGTTCAGGTTAGTACATGCCGTTTAAATTTTCTGGGTTTTGTGGGACATTTATTGATAGCTCCTCACAATACGTTCTATATGAATTTATCTTTTAGATAGTTTTCATGCTTCCAAATATACAGATTTGGAATATTAAAATATTCAAATCCAACTACGCCTTACATGTAGATTTACTATAATATTATAATAAATTATAGTCAGTGTTTTAAAAATACTCGAGTCAGTATATATACAATTGCATGGACTTCTGGGACGTTCAAGGTCTTTGGAATTTTCATACTTTTCGTCAACAGTACGAGACTTTCAAGCGATTTGTCCCTCGCGCTGTCATACACACATGTATTTGGTCATGACAGCTACAATTTTGAATTTCAAATAGTTTTAAATTTTCCCAGGCGTTTTTCACCTGGGAAACCACTCGCTCAAATATCTTAATGTATTCTCAGTACATTTTTATAATAATATTTATGTAGATATACCCTGTATCTCGTGTTGCTGAAAATGTCGAAAAGTGCAAACGTGGCAATCACACTGCTGGCTTTCTTGTGTGTAATGCACCAAAGTTTGCAGTGCAGTCCTCCAGGGCCGAATTGGGTGCCTCCCACAATTGCCGAATTAACTCAGAAAGCTCCCATCGTTGTACGGGGTTACGTGGTTAAAAAAGTGGGTGACATCGTCGTATCATTCAAGTGGTGCCTGAATATTTCTCATGTCTACAAAGGTTCTGCAGGTATAAAAAGCTATATTTGTGTGTCAAAGTTTGGCCCAACATCTGCATGTCTTTCCAATCCTGCTAACGGAGTGGAACACTTGTTTTTCTTGAACGGAGATGTAAAAAGTGGGAACTATGAGGCTCGTTACGATACAATACACTCCGCAACACAAGCATTCCGAAAAGACTCGGAGGATGGTGTTAGAGATGGGAAATGCTGTCCGGTTTCAATGAAGGGTTCAATGAAGAGGCTAATGAAGGGTTCAACGAAAAGTACGCAGCTATTTATAATATATATGATACTCTTCTACCAAATTTGCAATCATATATAGGCAATTTAAAATCATAGGTAAGGTTGACAGCGTATAAACTGTATAATGGGTATTATATATATCACCTTATTGGCTTATTGGTATTGTAATTAGCTGATTATATGAACGCGTAATATGGAATTGAATTAAAATTCCCATTTTGCTCTCGTGCAATAGTACAAAATTAATACTATTGCACGCTCAACTTTTTCTTGGATATTAATTATTTTTGAACAAGTTGTATTCCTTTTGTATTTAATTCGTTTAAAAATTCGAAAAAGTTGATCAATTTATAGGATATTGGTATCATGCATGTTAAACAAATAATGAATGTCTTTGTAACAAGAAGTATTTATCATGGAACAGTAATGCGGGCTCATAGTACTAATGTATAAAAGAGATAGCAGTTTTATTAAATGTGTCTTAATCTACTGTACTTAAATGTGTGCATGTGTTAATATAAAACGGGATGTTTAACATGGTGTCAGGTGTGTAGTTAAACGAGCCTGAAAGAAACATGGCGAAACCAGAAACTAGTGAAATAAGTCGACCAATTGCTCACCTAAAACCACCTACTGAATTTGACTTCGACGTTTCAAATGTCGCGCACTCATGGAAACGTTGGCGAGAAGAGGTAGAGCTGTATATGGAATTGGCTATGGTTGGAAAGAAAGAAGAGACGATAGTTAAACTCTTTCTGTACATTGTTGGAAGTCAGGGTCGAGAAATATACGAGACATTATCGTTTGATCAAGAACCCGAAAAGCGGAGCTTTAAAGACATTGTTGAAGCATTCTCGAACTATTGTGATCCGAAGAAAAACGAGACGGTAGAGAGAAGAAGTGTGCAAGAAGCGAGAGAAACATTAGATAAGTTTATCACAGATGTGAAAATTCTGGCTGCAACGTGTAACTTTGAACAGCTTAAAGAATCATTGATCCGAGACCGAATAATTTGTGGCATGACTGACTCGAAGCTACGACAGGACTTGTTAAAAATACCTGAACTGAGCCTGGATAAATGCATAGAGAATTGTCGCGCAGCTGAACTATCAAAAGAACGAAGTGAAGAGATCAAAGACAACGATAGAATTTATGCTTTCAACGCTGGACAGGGCGGTAAGCAAAATAGAAGCCGAAAGGTAAGAGACGAATATAATTCTAAACAGTTGAACAATGCCGTAGGCGTAGACAGGAAATGCAAATATTGTGGGGGTATGCATGAATGGAACAAAACAAAGTGCCCTGCGTATGGGAAAGAATGCCGAAAGTGCCGTAAATTAAATCATTTTGCCTCTGTGTGCAAAACTAAAAGACAACAGTTAAAAAGGTAGACACTTCTAGTGATAGCAGCGACTATGAGGAAATTAAAATGGTAAAAGTGGACGATAAGAGAAAGCCAGAAAAATCGTCAAGCACAAAACAATTCCCAAAGCGATTATATGCCTCAATAACTGTTGGTAAACAGCCGGTGAATTTTCAATTAGACAGTGGCGCGACATGCAATGTCATTTCATTATCTATGTTAGAGCGCTGTTTAGGAAAAGTTCAATTGAAAGGAACAAGCCGAGTTCTCAAGATGTATAACAAAGCGACGGTACAACTGGTCGGACAGTGTGTGTTACAATTAAAAAATGAGAAAACTGGCAAAAGCTATGAAACTGAATTTGTTGAAACAAGAACGCACACCATTGTTAGGCAGTGAAACAATTCAACAAATGAGTCTAATTACAGTCAGAAAGGAGAATATATTGTTGTTGTCGGTTAAATCGAGTAAAACAGCGTTGACTAAAGATACCCTTATTGAACAATATTCAGATGTTTTTCAGGGGACTGGCAAATTTGACGAACAATATCATGTAACAATTGATCCAGATGCAAGACCTGTGGTTCATCCACCAAGACCAGTACTCTATTGAAGAGAATTGGAGAGGTTAGAGTCTGAAGGCATTCTTAAAGTGGTAACCGAACCGACACCTTGGGTTTCGAATATGGTTATTGTTAGAAAACCAACTGGCAAGCTACGTATATGTATAGACCCGAAGGATCTGAATAAAGCTACCAGACGCAGCCACTATCCAATTCCAACGACAGACGAGATTTTGCCCGACCTGAGAGAAGAAAGAGTGTTCAGTGTATTCGACGTGAGAAATGGGTTTTGGTATGTGGAGCTAGACGAAGAAAGTTCCCTACTGACTACCTTTATAACCCCATTTGGCCGTTATCGCTGGATGCGGATGCCATTTGGTCTGACAAGTGCACCAGAAGAGTTTCAACGACGCCAACATCGTGTTATAGAGAATCTTCCAGGAGTGGTAGCAATTCACGATGACATCCTGGTGATTGGCAATGGTGCTACGCGTGAAGAAGCACAGCGAGATCATGATGTGAAAGTTTATGCATTAATGCGTCGATGTCGTGAGAAGAACACCACGTTGAATGCAGATAAAGTCAAACTGAGTTGTAATGAAGTTACATTCATGGGTCATTTGTTGACAGACGAAGGACTGAAGCCTGATCCAGACAAGGTGAGAGCAATCTTAGAGATGCATAAGCCAACAGATGTAGCTGCAGTTCGTAGATTGATTGGTTTTGTGAACTATTTACAAAGATTCTTGCCGAACCTGAGTGGAGTATGTGAACCTTTGAGGAAACTAACTCATAAAGATACAGCGTGGCGATGGACCGGGGAACAACAGCTAGCGTTTGACACAATGAAACAGTTAGTTGGCGAGATAACGATCCTTAAGTATTACCAACCTAGTGAAGAGCTTACTCTACAATGTGATGCATCTGAAAAAGGCTTGGGAGCAGTTATTTTCCAAAATGAACAGCCGCTTGCGTTTGCAAGTAGAGCGTTATCTCGAGCAGAAGTCAACTATGCTCAGATCGAGAAAGAGCTTCTGGCCGTGCTCTTTGGTTTGGAGAAATTTCGCCAGTACACATACGGTCGTCCAGTGCAAGTCCAATCTGATCATAAGCCATTGGAAAGTATAATGAAAAAACCCCTACATATGGCTCCAAGAAGATTGCAGAGAATGTTGTTAAGACTGCAAGGATATGATATTGATTTGGTGTATCGAAGTGGAAAGAATATGGAGCTTTCTGACACGTTGAGTCGAGCGTACCTTCAAGAAGGTGGAACCCCGGTCGAGATTGAAGTAGAGTCGATCAATGTGATGCACAGTTTACCCGTTGACACAGCAAGATTGGATGATATTCGAGCGAGTATGGAAACTGATGAACGTATGCAAGAGCTGAAGAAAGTCATTTTGAAGGGTTGGCCAGATAAGAGAAGTGACGTTCCAGGGCAAGCGAGACAATATTTTGGTGTACGTGACGAATTGACAGTTCAAGAGGGTTTGATTTTTCGAGGTGAAAGAGTGTTAGTTCCGAATGATCTGAGAAAGCAGATGATTCAACGTATTCATTCGACTCATATAGGAGCAGACGGATGTCTACGTCGTGCAGGAGAATCTATCTATTGGCCAGGAATGACCAGAGATATTAAAGATCACACTGCACAGTGCGATGTATGTAGATCGTTTGACAATAAGCAATCCAAAGAAACACTGAGATCTCACGAAGTGCCCAATAGACCATGGGCAAAAGTCGGAGTTGACATTTTTACGTTTAATGAACGAAATTATCTGATAACTGTTGACTATTTTTCAGGTTTTTGGGAAATAGATCTTCTAGAAAATGTCAAGGCGAAAACGGTGATTCGGAAGATGAAATCTCAATTCGCGAGGTACGGAGTTCCAGATGTGTGTATGTCCGACAATGGTCCGCAGTTCGTGTCCGAGGAGTATCATAAGTTCAGCAAGAGTTGGAAGTTTCAGAGAATTACATCTTCTCCCAGACATCCTCAGAACAATGGTCGTGTAGAAAACGCAGTCCAAGCAGTGAAACGTCTCATGAAGAAAGCGAAGAAAGATAATGCAGATGTGTATTTAGCGGTGCTGGATTATCGAAATACACCGACACAAGGAAGTGAAAGTTCCCCAGCACAAAGACTAATGTCGCGAAGAACAAAAACATTGCTCCCAACGACAGCAAAGTTGTTGGCACCAAGAGTTGTAGAGAATATAATCATCATCAAGAAATTGTGAAAGGCCAAGAACGTCAAGCGAAGTATTATAACAGAGGAGCAAAAGATCTACCTCGTTTAAAGAAAGAAGACAAAGTAAGAATTCAAGATCACGGACAAGGTCTTAAGAAGCGACTGTGAAAGCAGAAGTTGGTATTAGATCATATGAAGTTGAAACACAAGATGGACGAGTTCTGAGACGAAATCGAAGTCACCTCAGAAAAACAACAGAAGATGAAGTTGATGAGACAACTCCAAGAGAAATTCACACAGACGAAGATAGAGAATCGAACCAGACTGAAGAAAGGCAGTCAAAACAAGCGGTAGTTGAACAAAAGTGTAAAAAGAGAACAAAAAGTAGAAATACGAACACGTTCAGGACGGTTAGTAAATAGACCTGCGTATTTGAAAGACTATGTATCATTTGTGTTTTGAAATGCGAACTGGATTAAATAATAAACTTAAATATTTGAACTAGTAATACTACAGTTAGGTGTATATTGTTGTATTTAAAAAAAACTCTAAAAAAAGTTTGTATAGTTTTCTATCTCCTTTTAAAGAAGAAAGGATGTAACAAGAAGTATTTATCATGGAACAGTAATGCGGGCTCATAGTACTAATGTATAAAAGAGATAGCAGTTTTATTAAATGTGTCTTAATCTACTGTACTTAAATGTGTGCATGTGTTAATATAAAACGGGATGTTTAACAGTCTTCGATCGTGCATTAGTAAAAATATTTTCATTCGCTGAAAGAAAGTATTTTCATTTCACTGTGCTCAGGGCTGTCGCTGATCGTATAGAATGGAAAAATCCATCTTTCACATCATGAAAATATTTTAACCATTGCACTCACAAACATTCATTATTAATTTTGTATGCTATTTAATTAAGTAAAATCGTCTAGTGTGCGAATTCTAATAAACAATTATATAATAATTATGGATCTTACAGATCAGCAAACTACACACATCTGGCCATCTTGAATAGAGTTCTTATATATAGCCATAAAACCGGTTGCATGTTTTTTAGGCCTACTCATTAATTTAAAATGGCGTGATGGCATGAATGCATGTGATTATGATTTCCGAATGAAACTTATCAGTTTGTAAAGAAGAAACCAAATCATAATAATAGAAAACATTTTCTTTTAATGGCTAAGCAACCATAAGTTTGGAGTAAAGTCGTTGTTTAATGAACATGATTAAAAATACTGCAGTTATACAGTAACCATAGGAAAAGGTACACTTTGAATAATATAAGCTGATTCCGAACTTATTTTTCAGTTATCGCCTGTGGAATGGTTAAGTTATTTTTAATCACTTCTCCCAATGCATGATAAAACTTAAAATTAAATTTAATTCATAAATTATGTGTTGTTAACATGAGTAGATCAGTAATGAAAGCTACTACTTTCCCATTTATATAGGGTGTAACAAGTATCTGGATTGTAAACCGAGCGATTGCAGTGGTCCATTGTATTGCTCATGCAGACCTTGAATTTGTATCAGTTTGGTATTGTATGTTTGAAAATTTCATTTTCAAGATAATTAATGTCCTTCAATTTTATCATAGGCGTATGGGCGGGAGGGGGAGGGGGCACGGGGGGTCACGTGCCCCCCAAATTTTTTACGGTCGGGTAAAAATCAATGCAACATTCGGGCAAAACATAAAAATTTCGGGAAATTATGATATGTGCTGAAAAAATTTTGGTATATTTGCGAAAATTACGTGATGTTAGGGAAAATTTTCGTATGTTATATGTTTGCAGACAAGTTTTTGGTATGTCCGGAAAAATTTTTTTGTGACACGCCAACAATTTTGGGGAGAAATATTGGTAATCGTTCCATGTTTCGCGCACCAATATAGTAAACGTTATGTAATGGATATTATAGTGTACTAAAAAGTTAACTGGATACCTCCATATACATATATACACACTCTAACCCTATCCCTAACCTTAAACCTAACCCTAACCCCTAACCCTAACCTAACCCCTAACCCTAATACCTAACCACTAACCCTAACTTATATTGGTGCGCGAAACATGGAACGATAACCGAAATATTAATGTTCAGTTTGCCTGTTCGGGCAAAATATACTGTGCTCCCCTCCCCCCAAACAAGATAAGGCCCGTACGCCCATGAACTTTTGAAAAGAATAAAAAAATGATGAAACCTGGAATTCAAACTAACTACATATTTGCATGCATGAGTATCTATAGTTGACGCCGTTTGTAGGTTTCAAATGTCAGCGTGATCGAACGTTGACGAACGAAACACTAGTCAATTAAATGGTTCTCGAAGTGAAGCCGTTTTATATTGGCAGCGTTCGCTTAAATGTTTTGCTTTATACGTGCAAATCATGTGTACCGGCTTTGATGTAATTAATGCATTTGTCCGCGTAGTACTGTATTATGGGCAAACAATTAATGCTTTTAAATATTTTTCAGTGAAAATGCTTTGGTCGGTGACGAATTACATTTTGGTGCCCCAACCATAAAAAATAATTATTAATATTAACAATACAATCAAAAGTTAACGGTTAGAGGGTCCATTGCTGTCTTTGTTATAGTAATTGGGATTTGTGCAACTGTAAATATTAATGATATGCATATTCTTATTCTACGCGTACAGACAAGGAATGCATGGTTGTACGCTGCCCCTAAATAAAAAATAAAAAATCAGACATCGGCTGCAGTCGATGAGGAATATCGTTTAAAATCATCGTGTCAAATTTCGTGACCATCAGACACAAAACGAAAGAGCCTTATGCTTTTTTGAAAAGCGTCGCCCCCTAACAAGAAGAAGAAGATTAGCATGCAGGGATTGGGCAGCAGTTCCTGGTCCAAAAACAAGATACCTGCCTTTAGAAAACATTGCTATGTCGCTTTTGGAATTTCGTTATTGTTTTCCACATTTTTTATGTTGTTTGGCCTTTCAACGTCTTGCTAATGTTATCTTATCTTTCCCCTTGAATTTTATCTAGATTCTAATTTTGACGGACGGTTTTGGTGAAAGGAAATAAAATCACATTGCTGTCATATATATAAAATTCAAAGCCTTAAAGCACAATCATCATGTCATTTAAAACTTAGTAAACTTAACATTTATTAAAGAAACTTTGAATAAGCTATTTTCATATTGGTTGTTGATTTTGTTGCTGTTTGCATGAGAAACAGATGAAGTGCAGAAAAACAAGTTGCAAAGAAAACAGCTAGTATACTACAGCATGTAAGCCAAATTCTTGAAGCGTGATTCTGAAACATCATCGTACTCTTTTCCTAAAAAGTAATATCTTGAAACAATTCTTGAAAAGTGAAACGAAGCTTTTATCACACTTTCAAAATCCATATTTATTTTCAATCATGACGTTTATTAAAAAGCGAAGGAAATCTAGTACAATATGCCACTAGCCTGAACGCAGGTTTTACAAGTTAGACCAGTTAAGCTAGTGCTGTCCAATCGTATGTCTTTCCACCAATCCGTGGAAAATCCATGTGACCTGCACAAAGAATGCTAATCCGACTTTCAGACGCTCTTCATGCCAAGAGAATGTCTGTGTACAGGTAAATAAAAATAATCATGAGAAAACCTCTGAACGTGAGTCAAAGTTGTCGATGAAAGTTCTTTCCAGTTAATAGATTTTGATAGGGTTTGTGAAGTTTATTTTTTTGTTTGCAAAGACGTAATTTCGGGACTTCAGTTGATGGCCAGGTATAACAAAAACCGGCTATTTTAATGCAGTAGTGATCGAGTTTAGAGACAGTTTAAGACTCAAAAGATGAAGATAAATATAATTACGGTCTTGCTACGACCATTCTAATATGAGAAAAATCGTCCACATGTTGTTTGATTGCCCGTCATTTGGATGAAAAGTCACGTGATTGCAAACAAAGAATTGCAGGTTTGCACTATAGCCATCATGGGAATTAAAGTGGAAGCCAAGTCCGTAATGTAAACAAATGGTTTGTTTACATTTTGAACTGCTGTATTTTTTTTTAAAATATGATGTACTGTCTGAATATCTAACACCATTTTGGTTCACTATGCTTCTAAATGAATATGAGATAGAGTTTATGTTCAAAAAAATTCGAAATTTGGGCAATATTCACATTAGAGGTTCATTAGAGGTCCCCACATTGTTATGAGCAGAACCGATGCGCAGAACGGACTTGACTTCCACTTTAACTATATAATATATTATATAAAATATAAATATTGGCGATTTTGAAAAAGGTATCTATCAATGCTTCCACAACCGCTTGTTCAAAAATACTTTTACAATCTCCAAAATTCCTTTTTTCCTACAAAATTTCCTTGCCACCCAAATGACGGAAAAAATCAAGAAAATTCAGACAAACTTGAGGCAAATGTATCATAGACCCTACGAGAAATCGAGCATCATTACACTGCCTGAGTTCCCTCCATATGAAAGTATCTGCTCCACATATATGTTTATGTTCACCCAGGGGCGTGATGTGCTTGATAATGGTGGAGGGGTTGAATGGCAGAAGGCGCTGAACGGCAAATTTTGAAATTTATAGCCTCTAGATCGCCGGAAATGGCATTTTCAGATTCTTCTGTACCTCTTTTGTTAGACCTATGCTATTTATAAGTTGATTTTTACTGGTTTAAGACTTGTAACTGGTATAAGTTACAGAAATCCTTGCAATTTCCTTTAATTTCTGTATTTTTCCTTGCAATTTCCTTGTAAATTTTATTACCTTGTAAATTTTATTTCCTTGTAAATTTTATTTCCTTGTAAATTCCTTGCAAGGACCAATATGTCCGTGCTGCAGGGAAAAATCCTTAGTTGTAAGTGAAAGCACTGGTATCTCTTCAGATATTTCTGGTATTACTGCAATATCTATAGTGTAATCTTCAATGGAAGTTTTACATTTTCCTAACACTGGAAGAATTAGGTCTATATATAGTTTCAACGTCACGCTTGTTATGTACCGACCCTAATACACGTTACGTTCGGCAAAGTTCAGCATAATTCGAAGGTTTATTCAAACGGCGAACTGAAGGGGCCGACCTTTAGAAAAGTGATGAGAGGGGGGGGGGGGATTTTCAGATTGCACTTTCAGCTTTTTTAGCGGAATTTTAAAGGTATTTTTCTGTGCTATTGTCTTGGCACCGCACTGTTATTTTCAGGGAGTTAAAATAACTCCGAAAAAGGAGGTTAGCAAAAAAGGTTCAAAATTATCCGTTTTGGGGGTTACTGAATAACTCCATTTCTGGGCTTAAAATATAACTCCACTTTTTGGGTTAACTCTCATATTGGAGTTAAAATCTAATCCCTATTAAACAATTTTAACTCCGTTTTGGGAGTTAAACCGGCACTCTTGAAGACGTTTCCTCATCTTTTTAGTTATTTTTACACATTTTTAATGTTATGAAAACCAAAACCATGAAAAAACATCACTTAGTTTTCATAACATTCAAAACGGCGTAGAAATCTCATTTTTGATTCCCACCGTGGCCAAGCAGACTTTTCAGCTTGCCTGGTGTGGATGCACACAGAGTAACATCACAAACATCATATTCACCTGAGTACATAACACCAACACACCAATATCATATCTTAGAATACACTGATATCGAAAGAACTAGACTCAGTTCCGAAATATCATCAACTCAACCGACTACTTGACCGCGTAGCTCAGTTGCCAGAGCATTCAGTGGCGGAAATCTCGGTGGGGTGGGGGGGCGCCCTCCCTTCTTGGGAAATGAAATTTTCTGAAATTTTGACCTATAAGAGGGCTAAACAGCCTTTTCAAGTGCAGATGAGGGGTTTGTTGGAAATTTGAAAGTTTTGTCGGAAATTTAGAAGGCTTCGCCCCCCCCCCCCACCACCACCACCGGGAACTTCCGCCACTGAGAGCATTGGACTAGTATCCCAAAGTTCGCGGATTCGATTCCCACCGTGGCCAAGCAAACTTTTCAGCTTGCCCGGTGTTGATGCACACTCAGAGTAACATCACAAACATCACGTTCACCTGAGTACATAACACCAACACACAAATATTCATAAACTTGTAGGCAAACACGTCAGCCACAATACGGTGGAGTGACTTTATCAACCTCGTACCCAGGGTTTCATCTCCGCTAAACCCTGGGTACGAGGTTGTGACTTTATATCTGATAAAACTCATCTTCATTAGTATTCTTTATATAATTGCATCTTCATCCTAATTAGTATGATTATATAACTGTTCATCCTAATTAGTATTCTTTTTGTGGTCGTATTTTGAGTCATTCAAAACACTCGAACTCGCGTTTTATCATATCTAAGACGCTCGGCTGCGCCTCGCGTTTTAAATATGATAAAACATTCCTTCTCGTCTTTTAAATACTAACATAACATCTTTAATCAAAGCCGGTCTAGGTTTTGTCACTCATCGATATATAGCACAACATGAATTCTTATCAGGGGCGTAGGAACCGGGGGGAAAAAGGACTAAAAAGGCCCTTTTTTGTGATAAAAAGTGCCCTTTTTGTACAAGCTAATGTCGCTGTAAATACTAAATTAACATCAAAGGTGCCCTTTTTGTTTGGAAATTTCCACGTTTTTTTAAAGTGCCACTGCGATGGAAAATTGTGCTGTCTTTTTATTGTATATTCAGAAAGTATGTCGGTAGATAAACAAAATTACCAAATATCAGCGTCCAATTCCATTTCCTTCTGCCTTTTTTTTCAACGCAAACATGCAAATTTTTCGGCCGCCATTACTGAGTTGCCAATTAGCGAGATGTTGATTTCTTAGCCGGATGTGACGTCATTTACTCAACACGCTTCTTTCCCGCAACCTCGTACCCAGGGCTAGCCGCGAATTGAAGGCGGCGGCGTAGCCCTGGTAAACGCTGGTCACGTGACTCGAACATTACGTAATTGTTACTTTTCTGATCCGGGGGGTGAATTATAGAGGTGAAACTCGACGACCAACAGTTTTTAG